ACAGATGAGCAGATGTCAGTGTGGCCTGTGTGTTTTTTGTTTTTTTTACCGTAGCTGGACGAGGCTTTGAAGCCAACAGGTGCAGACTGGGACTCATTTTAATAGGTGGTTTGGAGTCACAGAGGCCAAGAGGTTAAAGAACGACCCACGTCTTCCAACCGCGTCTAACCAAAGAAGTATATTCACCCACTGCACACCACCAAATATGACCTCTGCTTTTAACCCATCACCAAAGTGAACAGTAGGGGGCAGTGTGTGTGGACGGTGCCATGCTCAGAGCACCTCAGTGGTAACTTGGCAGCTGGTGGACTCGAACCTGAAACCTTCCGGACCCAAGCCCGTTTCCGCCCCCACTGCCCCATAATAAGTTAACCTCCCTGGAGATAGTTCTGACCACTTTACTAACAAGAACCTAAAGTGTGAGTGGCGCTTTGGCCCAGAGGCAATGTCTCTGTCATTGGTGTGGAACCCCAGGGTTCACCTCCGGGGCAAGTTCGAATCCCGGTTAGGGCGGTTGGTACCTTCCAGTGGACTCACCACCTGCAGGAAGGTTTGGGGCGGTTGGTACGGTGCAGTGTGATCTGGGTGGCGACTGCTGCCCCTGCGACCCGGTAACGGATAAGCGGATGAAAATGGATGGGTGGATGGATGGATGGATGGAACCTAAAGTGTGTTAGTTGGACTCGGTCGTGATAGAATTGTGTTGGTTGACATGCAAACATGGCTTCAACATGTGGCATCGGCAACAAACCAACCATTATAAACGTGACTGTACACCTAATCAGACGAAACTTAGTGTCTTAGTGTTTTGTAGAATGATGTTGTCATGGTTTCACTGTGAGTGAATGGATGGATGGATGGATGGATGGAACCTAAAGTGTGTTAGTTGGACTCAGTCGTGATAGAATTGTGTTGGTTGACATGCAAACATGGCTTCAACGTGTGGCATCGGCAGCGTGTAACAAACCAACCGTTATAAACGTGACTGTACACCTAATCAGACGTACCCATGGCCCCTCAGCTCTTAGTGGTTTGTAGAATGATGTTGTCATGGTTTTACTGTGAGTGAGTGAGGTTGACAAAATGCCAAGATCAACCAGGACCAAGTAAAAAGACTGATAACAGCCCCCGTGGCTGTGGCATTTATTAAGAAAATACCGTTAGGGGATGGTTTGATTGTTCTCACGGTAAACAGTGACACGCTTGAGTGACGCCACGTCTGGAGCTGGAGTGACAGCAGCAGCTTCAGGGCTCCGTCCTGGGCTCTGTGTTCAGGTGGAGTATTAAGTGTTGCTCTGCTCTGATTGTGTTTGGCAGCAGAGCAGAACCAGCAACAATGAGCGCAGTTACATGAGTAAAACAAGGAAGAAAATAACGTTTACAGGGAACGAGAACGAGTGAAACATGAGCCGTTACGGTGTCAGCGTTGACAGCTGCAGCCTGAACTACAGCTGCGTCGTTGGCTGGAGCATCTACCAAATACACCGTGCCTAGTTGATGATTGGTAACGTCAATATCAAAGACTACTGTAAATCATTCAAATCGTGTTTTTTAAGTAAAACAGAGTACAACAGTCAAGACAAAAGATTTGTAGAGTCAGCGTCGAGAGGACTTTTTTTAAGTTATTATTATGAAGCGGTTTCAGGGTTGGAGTTTATGAAGGGTGTGTTAGACAGATACGAAGACATTGAACATTGAACGCAGGATTTTGGAGAGCAGTAATGAAGGATTAGTGTTGATTCCCCGAGAGGAGTAGCTATTTTTGGGGTTAAGAAAGGTAGACTAAACATGATGAGGATTTTGTTCTGAAATTGTTTATCATCTGCATAAAATCAAAAGGTTCTGAAATTGTTTATCATCTGCATAATATTGAAAGCTTAGCACAGGCATGGGCGAACTAAGGCCCAGGGGCCTGATGTGGCCCGTTCAGTTTTTTAATCCAACCCGCCAAACATTTCCAAATTATAGAATTTATTTATATCATCATTATACTTCTGCCTTTTCCCTGTAATACCCACATTTCCCCAATAGATGGGATAGAAAATGATTGCCTTTATGCATGACTTTTACATTTATCTTAGTTCACACAAACGCTCCCCCTGTCTGCTCCTGACCCCCCCGCCCCCCCCACCCCTCCCGTTAGGACAATTGTGGCCTGCGAGTCAAAAAGTTTGATGATGACATGATTAAACCAAAGGAAATAACAAAGGACTAAGAACAATGCCCTGAGGCACACCTTGGTTAGATGAGGCTAAATTAGAGCTGCAGCCACTGTCACTGGTTGATGAGCTCTCTTCACTGAGGTTGGAGTGCAGTGCAAAAGAGGCAAAAAAGGTTCAGGAGAAACTGCAGGAAGGTCGTTGGTGATTTTAAATATGTAAAATTACGTTTTTTCTCAAGTTAATCTTTGTCACGAGTTGAGGCAGGGTGGGGGTGGCTTGACATATTTTAATGGCGTGGGGGGGGGGTGGCTTGACATATTTTAATGGCATTGCTACAAAGTAAAAATCTGACATGAATGACAACGGTGCTGATGGACCTGTTCATTTGCCAATTCCCTAAAAGCAGAGTCCACGTAGGGGCTTTCCCAGTGCAGATGTTGACCCAGATCGCTAAAGTAGCTTGTTGCGTAACTTACTGGTTTAGATTCAGGCCAAGGAAGATCAGGTCAAATCAGCAAACTGAGCTGAGTTAGACACACACAGAATGATAACTGTCAACGAGTGTGTGCATTGGTGTCGATGTTACGTCGGTCCAGAGGGGCCTTGAACTGGAGCTGAGCTCTGTCACTGATGGAAGAGGTCGACCCGGCCTGAAGCCATTTTAAATCAGCTACATTGGTTTTGTGTGTGTATGTGTGTGTGTACACCTGTGGATTTGCAGTGGATATCCGTAATCAGGTTAATAGGAACAGGAAATGGAGCTTCTCTAAAGGATGGAGCGGGCTAACAGAGGGAGGACAAAACACAGGATTATATTTCTTAGGTCAAGAATCCAGACAATGACTTTTGTGTCTGTCTGTGAATGTTTTTATCTGCTTCATCAACATACACACCTGTCTGCTGGAGCTCTGACAGTGCTGTGTTTTCACAACTCTGCTGGTTTATAGGAAAGCTGTTAGAAATGCCATAACAGACCTGATCCATCCACAACCCCTGGGTTTATAACCAGGCTCACATATATTCACATATATTCACATATGGTGAGGTTTTCTCTCTCTGTCATTTGCCTTGTTTCTACTTTAATAAGAACCAGAGCTACAGTTATCAAATCCCAGATTGTCCTCGAATCTTTAGCCAATATCTAAGAGCTGAGCGATAACGTATTTGGTTGTGACTTTTTTAACCAACATTGTGTATTTGTTAGTTCAGTGTAAACTCCAGAGTGCTAGTGTAAAAGCTGTGCTCACCTTCTGTTCACCTGGCTGAAATTTTAAATTACATACATCTTTATCTTTTAATACTGTTTTTTGAATTATTTTGTTGACATACTTTCTTCAGTTTGAATTTAATTTATTTTGTTGACATACTTTCTCTTGAGTTTTTATTCAATATAGAAAGATTTTTTTTTTTAGTATCCTTCTGTTAATGCAGTGGTTCTCAATTTAAATTCTGTCATGCCCAAATGTTGTCTACTCTGAGGATGTAGAAAAGCTTACAAAGGTGTAACAGCAGTGATCTTTGAAGACAGCAGGGGTATCGCCTAGACAAATGCAGACGGTAATAGAAAAGCTCAGACAATAAACGGACATCAGAGACCTTTATTCACTTCCTTCAATGGTTGTCTGACAGTAAAGCCTTACGCTGATGATTACAAAAAATATCCCTCTCTGACATTCCATTAAAACGATCCCGTGTGAAGACGAGACCATAACTTTACTTTGTTGCTAACGCATTATTAGATTACAAAGTGGAGAGTGCTGCAAATGTCGTTAACTTTGCACACGTAACGTCAACTACTTTTATCTGATGTTGGCGCTGATGGAAGACA